GACCAATGCAAATATCAGAATAGGCAATTATGGATACAACACATCTAAAAACAAAGTTCTCAGAAGTAGCAAAATTTGGCTAAATAAATGTTACTTGCGTTGAACATAAATTAAACTAAGAAAATTAGCAGATTTACACTATATTAGATCACAACCAGGTTATAAACAAACATAGCATAAAATCTATATGCAATCCAAATCCTAATCACGCCCAGGCTTCCCAAGTGCATGGCTTACATAGCGACAAATACAGAAGTCAGCATTCTCGATATTTTAACCAGTGAGTACAAAATTTGCTCCATAAAATTTAACAGGACAAACAAAAGGGACGTGACAAAAGTGAGCAGCATTGATAAAAAACATGTGATGAACGTGCTTTCACAGATAAAATAAATTCTGAAGTTATGCTCACAACAGAATTATATGCCCAGGTGTGCAATGAAAAATTTCTGCAGTTATGCTATGCAATCTAAAACGAAGTCTAAGGGGGACTAACTAGCAGCACCTCATATAGTACTCGTATGGAAATGGAAATAGCAACACGAGGAATAACAGAAGGAAACCTTGTCCAACAGTAGCAGCAGCATGTGTTCAATTAGTCAGGCAGCATGCCACATGGTTTGCAATCTTTTAAAACTTTTCTGCTCTGCCTGCCTGCAAGAAATGGCACCCACGGCCTAACAGTATATGGGAACAGAAGCAAAGCATTGATAGGAAGTAATAACCAATTGAAAAGAGCAGAAGCAGTAACACCCATCAGAACAACCGTAACGAATCACCCCTGCATCTAGGATGTGAGCACACACGCCTGCCCAAAGGGAAACAAGCTCTGACGCCCCAGAATCGCACAAGCAGTTAGAATCGACAGAGGAACCAGAGTATCAAAGGGCACGTCTCTGACGGACGAACACGAACACGAACAAGCTAGCCGTTTGAGATCTGAAAACAACCGACGAACAACGCAGGAACCGAGATGAACTAGCACGGCAAACTGACAGTTGCAATCGGTCTCCCCATCTCCGGCCGTAACCCAATTTCAAAACCCAAGACCCCGACCGTTCCTGTAACACTCGCGCTGACACGAACAAGAAACGCAGGATCCAAAGTGTCTCTCAGATAACAGAAGAAGCGCACGCAGAAATTTCTCAACCGCAAACCAGACGGAGACCCTCGAC